TTGCTTTTCTCTGCCTGATAAAACAAATGACTGGGAAACCAAAACTGAGAAGAGTTAAATATATAAACAAAATTACAGTTCAACATCGAGATGATGATCTTATTCATGATGTTCCCATGCACTACTTTTAAGCACACAATTACAGCAATTGCTTTAATTACACTGCAGGATTATATACTATGTAAATACATTAAAAGAACCATTGTAAACCAAACAAATAAGTTAAGTTTCTTATTGCAGATTAACAAAAATAGCAAAGTCGTTTCCCAATTCACTTGCAAAGGAAAATACATAAAACCAAGATCGTTTACGAAGACAGAAACTTTAAAGCATCAGTCTTGCTACTTTATTCCTTGCAAAAGTAGAAGTTTGTAAAAAGTACGTTCACAACTACCTTAGAGCATAAGATACATTGTTCAAAACATACACATGGGCAGGTTTACTTCCAGTCAGTTCTGATAAACTCTGACTGGCTGCCTTTCTGGACTGACTGTCTCATCCTTTGTGCTTTGTTCTGATCTATTCACGTTGCAAGTTTCATTTTACCTTAAGTAGGTTTTAGATCAGCCTTGACATTCAGATAGCTCGTGCCTTCAGTAAAAGGTAAACTTGAGTATCAGTATGTTTACTATATGCATAAAACCATATCTACATTGCATACTCATCTATGTATCATCACAATGTTTCATCTGATCCCAATATATTGTGGGATTTCTTTGTTCCTACAAACTCTAAAAACAAAGCAGCACCGACATTTCTAAGTTAAAAGTTCATAGACAGGAAGAAGAGGGGCAAGTGGGAGAGGGGAGTCCGCCACAGGTATTTCCACAAAGTATCTGCAAGTGGAATTATTATAAGCAAGAACTTTGATCCTTTGTCAAACATCTCACTTAGACAGTTTTGAAACACCTCATTATCCAGTTGAAGAATGCACTAGAAATGTAGCCTTTATATTAATTTCTGTGGGACAAAAATTACTTGTTGTAGTCTCCAGTGGCACTGCCCATTCTCACCATTCTTCCCTCTACAGGGAGAAAGCAGATTTTTCTTTTTCTTTTTCTTTTAAAGATTAACTTAATGAATCAGCTTGTAACATTTTGCATTGCAGGCAAAATACTGTCCTGTCCTTCTGTATCTCCCGCTGGAACAGAATGTTAGCATAATGCATAAAACAACTTCTAGCAACATTTTTAAGTATGACTCTGCTTAAAGTGAGAAAAATATTTTGTCATTTACTTGACAAAGTCTCCAGTTCTTTGCACTGACAGATCCCCAAAGTGCAACTGCAATATAAAATGCCATAGCCAAGTGCACATTTGCAGGGGAGGCAGAACTAGATGAGTTCACATAATCACTTAATCAGATACTTGCTTACCTACTGCTCAGTTCTCAATTCATTTTATGTTGTGCAAAGGAGCAAATTTCTACCCGATACTACAAACAGCTGGGAGAACTGTACAACTGTACAACACCTGCCCAATTAATTCAAAGTATTAGTGACCAATACCCGCATTCTTAGCCGCTCACATCAGAGGCTGTCACAGCAACAGCCACTTTTTAAGCTCTGGGTTAGGAACATGCCTATGCTGCTGTTATTTCTCACCTAAGCTGAAAAGTACTTCCAAAGATTGGTTCTCCAGAAACTGAGATAACGCTCTGAGTGCACAGCGACATCTGAAGCACTAACCCTAACTTGATAGCAACTGAAGAGGAGTGGTTTGTTTAACTATGATCAGGCATAAGGAGCTATTTACATCATAAATGAAAACAAAACTGCACAGATTTGTAGTTCTCCACTGCATTTATAGAAAGTTTAACACAGAAATGAAGCAGAACCGGAGGCGTCACTGCAGAGTTCAATGAACACTAACAAATATGTAAGAAAAAAGTCACTGGCTACAAGCTGGGGACTGCATGGTAGGCACAGCACAGAACCTAAGTCAGCAACCCCCTTGATAGCAAGACACACACAGAGATTAATGCATCCTGCAAAGGAAGGATGACTACATCAAAAAGTTACTGATTCAGACCATGAACTTTATCTCAAAATTTTGCATTTAACTTTTAAATAAGGTTTAGGAGAACTTGTAACATTTTGCTCACTGACACAGCTATATTTTATTAAGGACAAAAATGGGTTAGTCTATAAAAATTAAATTATACTCCTCTGACTATATTTAGTCAAGAGGAAAAACTGTAATTATGGGATTGTGCTGTCAAATAAATGCAAATTCACATCTTTCACATTCTGGGTTAAAAATTCAAACTCAAGTCTATTATAAATTAAAATCAATATTTGAAACATTGCAGCTTTCAGTGATAAGCAACAACCAAAAGAATCAAGTTATGAAATACACTAGTAGAAGTAGAATGAATTATTAAATAAAACTTGGGAGAATAAGGCATTTGTATTACACATTTAAATACCAATAAGGAAAAAAAAAAAAAAAGGATGATGAACTGAATCACCTCTGTTTTACAACCAATCCTCTCTAGAATTGACTGAGGATAACAGAGAAACTAAGCTTGCATAGTAAATTTCACTCAAATTGAAATAGTTAAGTTAAAAATTTAAATTTATTCACTAGCTGAAATTTATGATCTCTAAGCTTAAAATGATTAAGAACTGCATTTATGGAAGTAAATGAAATAAAACAGAACAGTGCTACCTGCTATGCACAGCAGGCTAGTTACCTCCTAAAAGGAAAATCCAAGGATCTGCTCAGAGACAATATAAAAATCACACAGGAAAAAAAAAAACCCACCCAGAGGTTTCTTTTAAGAGCTCCTTATTTATTATATTGCAAACCAATTTATTCATAGGAGTAAGGACAAGTTATGCACCAAGGTATGCCTAAAAGCTGTTCAAACAGCTACAATTTGCATTGTCTATGTGCCAGCCTGCAGTCCTGCCTGGGAAGAGCTGCACGACCGAGCACCCATCCGCATACGCAGCACACGAGGGGCTGTCCCTTACCACAGGGGAGTGTGTGAGTGTGTGTGTGTGTGCGCGCGCGCGCGCACACCCACTGAGCCAGAAGGGCTGCACTTCAGTCTGTGAGGGTTTACCTGGCTGAAACCAGTTTCCCAACACACACCTGAAGGGAAGATGACAGATATGTTTCTTGAAGGCTGATATAGCCTGAGGTTGCATTGAAATGAAAACAGGAAGGAACCAGGAAAGATATTTTAAAAACCCTCAAACAAGAAGCAAGCAGCACCAAACAATTGTTAAGTATTAAATGAGAACTGTCTATGTCTATATGCCATGTTGATAGCCCTTGAAATCACCACAGCATCCATTCAAACCCATTAGAAGTACTGTAGAAGCTGTGGTGTGCAGATAGCAAAGCCTTCAAATACCCATTTAGAAATACTTGGACTTTTAAGAGTACCTTCCAAGCTGTAACTTTCTCCCATCTTCACCACCCTTTCCAAGTAAACTTGAAATTAAATATTGCAGTAATATACAGCCTGAAGGAGACTAATCTTCCTTTAAACATACAGCTTTTTTCTACACTGGAGCTAAATATTTTACAGAAACACAGTCACTGTGGATGGTGTCACCCAGGATGAAATAGAAGTGCCAGCAGTTCAGCTGCTGTTGATAGGTAACAACAATTCTTATTATTTTTCTATGATTCCTTATGTAGTGATCTGAAAGTACCAGCACAAGCAGAACTGGCTGACTGAGAAGCACTTTGAAAATACCAGTGAATGGTTTCCTAATGAACAGAACCAACGCTACTGTCCGGACCGATGGCTACACACATTGGCTAGGTAGAGAGGGATTCTGCTGTTACTGAAGGACTCACAGAACAAGGACAGACTGCAGCTTGATTTATATTTACAGCATCACAGTCTTTTACATCCGTGAACTCCACGCTCTAAAGTGCTGCCCTCAGCTGCAAGATGCGCAGTTCCAGAGAGTGGCTTCCTCCTAAATCAGGGTTCTGACATCCCGCCTTGCCCTCTGCTCCTTACGCCTTCCGCTCGGTACAGAGGTCACGCCAGGGAGCTACTGCCTGCTTGCCCTTCATAACGCCCAGAAGCAAGCAACACCAAACAACTGTCAAGTATTAAATGAGAACTGACTTTCTGTCCATGTCGGCTGTTTGCAGGAAGGGCAGGATGCTGCATGACCCCCACCTCCCACCATCTCGCTTCCCTGCCACCCCACCCAGCCCTGCCGCTCCTAACGAAGCTGTGGCCTCCTACTCACGTTGATGGCTACAGAGCAATGTGGTGGTCTAAAAACCAAGAGAGCTCTCGCTAAATCTCAAATGCCTTCCATGATGCTGAATTTAAAAAAGCAATTTATAGCACAGCTCAAGACAACAGAGACACGGAATCACAGCTAGTTTAGTTTCCTCTTGAACACATTTCTCTCCAAATAAGCTAAGTTTAATATTAATTACAATATGGGAAAAGTCCCCTTAGACTTGGAAAATAAGTATGGCAACTGCATCCATTTGTGCTCGGCTCTCCCCCCAAACTCCCCAAAATATTCTTTTTATCCTTGTCTCACTTTTGCTTGATGTTTTCTTTTATGGATGAAAGCAAAGATGACTACACTTTCCTTCCCTTAAGATGAACCTTCAGAGTATATGAATTGCTAGAGTAAATAAAAGAAAGGAGGGAATTACTAATTTAATGCTCTTCCATCTCTTGGGGGAAAAGCCCATGTAATTAACTGTAATGAGATTAAACTAACTTGTTGTTATTAATTTCCCAGTGCAGGGAAATCAAATCTGAGACCAGTAAGACTGTGTATTAACAGCTTTATCAACATTTGGCTTGCATCCTTCAGTTTTTACACCAGTTTTAAAGGAAAATGATTGACTTTATTGAGTTGCAAAGTCACTCAGAAGTGTAAGAAATTGAATCTGGTCCCTTTAGGTAGGAATGACAGATTAATCTGCAGTTGAAGATTGTGAATGGGTGGAGCCAAAAGCCACAAATGCTACCAACACACATAAACATAATTATTAAACTCTTACCAAAACTTTTTTCCATTACTTCTTTCTGACACATATCTTGAACATTCACTGTACAATTCACGATGAACTCTGGAGCAGAGCAGTCATTATTTAGCTGGAACTCCTCACACTGGTAGCACTGTATTTGCAAACCCAAACCTGGAACACACAGAATTTTGCTCATAATATTTTTAAAACCCCACCACAATCAACACGTGCCATAAATCTTTCTTATCTTTCCTTCTTCACATGTTGCTGTTTCGAACTCAACAGCTGAGCAGAAGTACGACTTCAACAAAAATAACGTAAAATAAACGCTTCGAGGCGATGCCTTACACGCTGAGCACCCGGTGAAGCAGCGGGCTCCTTCCCGCGGGGACCCCGGGACGCACCGGCGGCTGTACCGTCGCTCCGCCCTGCCTCCGCGCCGCGGCCAGCAGGCGGCGGGACACAGACGCGGACACCAGCACCGCGGCCGCCTAACCCCGGGGCTAAAAACTATACATGCGCCGGAAAGAGCAACCTGCTTACGCTTCGGCTCTTATCTGTGCCGACGGGTTTACTTAGCTACTAATTAATTACAAATGATTTAATTACTATTTTGCTATGCACAATTACAGCTGCGGAGCATTCTTCACCTCCCTCCTTTATCATGCAAACGAGGT